TTGTTTGCATTCTGAGAAACAGATCAAGTTCTTATCAGGGAGAAATGATGCAATCAATGAAGGATGATACCAACATGACAGACAAACACATTTGCCAGTGTGGCAACACTCCAGTGCACTGATTGTTTTACAAACTTTCTAATGACAGCGTTCCCACAAATTTCGACCATTTAATTTCCATTTGTTTGTGATCACTGAATATAGATTTTATTATAAATATAGAAAGCCTTTCTGATGTTATTTTGGTTCCATTTTATATTAGGTGGCCTTAACTACTATGTACTTACATCAAAAAATTATCACAATGTACTTATTGTGTTCATATTATATGGCAAAACACTCCTGCTGCTATAGTGGTGGGATACGGGTAAGGTTAGGGAAAGGTTTGGTGGTATGGATAGGTTTAAGGGTGGGTTAAGGTGTAAGGGATGGGTCAACAGTGTAACTATAAATGTAATTACAGATGTAATTACATGCAGGTATTTAAAAAAATATATAATTACAATGTAAAAACATGTATACACAATACATACATTTTATTAAATTATTAAGTAAGTAGATAGTAGTTAAAGCCACTTCATATAAAGTGGGACTGTTATTTTTTTTCTTTCCGTATTTATGTATCCTTATTGATTTCAATTACAGTTTCCAAATGTTATTTACATAAAAAATAGCTAGCTATGCAAACTTTTTTACTATTAGTTACATGAGGCAAAATAAGTTAGAATGAAGGATAAACTGAAATTCACAGCATTTAAACAAGTTCTGCTCACATATTTGAAGGTTTCTATTGGATCATTTAGGGTAAACGCCATATTATGCGACTACGCATTACGAAGAACTTACAAACTAGCTACTAGCTACGTCCTGCCTTACAAACAACTGGTGCAACCGAACATTGTATAGATTTAGTTACAAACTAGCTAGTAGCTACTAAGCCTCTAGTGTGGACTTAACATTCTAACATAAGTAAAAACTTACGAATTGCTGGTGCAAACCTACTCAGGAGCAGGGTTTGAGACGTCAGACCTTTGTTAGTTTTCTTCTTCTGTGTTGTCTTTTTCTGTCATAAAACATTTTCCGCCATTTTTAATATACCAAAAACCGACCTTTTCTAACTACTCCTAGAGCATTGCTCTGATTTTCATTAAAATGTAATAGTAGATCTTCAGACTATGGTGACAAAAGTTTATGTAATTCAAGTTTAGTAGTCAAACTTGCGAATGAATTAGAGGAAGAGCACGCCAAAATGACTGTGAGGCTACATCTTCAAAATGCTTTAGCTTATTTAAACCAAATTTGGTGCATGCAATGACAAAAATGACCTGAGGGTATATGAGTTTTGGCAGTGAGTCACCTATTGGTCAATATATATGAAAAATTTTAATTTTTGCAACATTTTGTCACCTACTGGTCAATAATTGATAAGCAATTACATCACATTAAAAGTGATTGTATTTGTTTTTTTTAACCATTTTGCCTAAAGACATGAACAAATGTCTTTAATTACTCATTTTTGCAGGTGGTCTGATGTTCCCTGCCATGCTTGCTTAGCTCCTCATTTTGCAGACAACTGCTGCTTGCAGCGTTATTTATTTATTTATATGATATTTTTATGCTGTTGTTTTTGTTGTTCAGTGCTATTTCTAAGAACTAATTAGAACCAATTGGAGTAGTTGAAGTCATTCTTTACAGATAATTCTAAATGAAATCAAATTCAGATGGGAAAAGTCAATTGCATTCTTTTTATGGTGAAATTTAATTATCATTGAAGCTCAACAAGCAAATTCACACATAAAGGAAACATTGTAATCTCTAGAAATGTTCCAGTGTAAATTCTCTGATATTTCAAGGTTTTCCACGAGGGTAGGAACCCTAGTTGCCATAATTAACTTTGCTGTTTCAGCAAAATAAATAAATAAATACAAATAAAAAATAAGGGAGAGCAATCTTAACCACAGAAGCTCATAGGAAACTGAGTTTATTTTTCATATGAGTGCTTGAGTGTCCCTGAAGTGTCAGTTTGAGTTTGTGGCTGGGCAGCGTGTGAGTGATTTGCTTGGATTTTGCTCTCTTCTCTCTGGAGTCTGTCAAAGCCAACAGCTCCTCTCCAAATATCTGCAGTGTTTGAGCACAGATGAAGTCATCAAAATGGGCTCAGTGGTTAGAAATGTTGTCTCACAGCAAGAAGGTCCCCATTTCGAGACCCGGCAAGGACAGGATGCCTTTCTGTGTGGAGTGTGCATGTTCTCCCTGTGTCTGCGTGGGTTTACGCCGGGTGCTCCGGTTTCCAACCACAGCCCAAAGACATGCAGGATAGGTTGCTTGGTTCTCGCCATGAATATAGCCATAGATGCTGGATTGGCATTAAGAAAGAAATAAACAAAGTCATCAGAACACTGATGACTCTACCACAGGCTGGGCAAAGGGCACATATTATAAACACACGCATATTCCCAGTATGCAGAGGATACCTATATATTTGCACACAATACCAAATCCACAAGTTTTATAACAACATTTCCAAACCTGCCCACAAACACGTTTATCCACAGACTATGCCACAATAAGAAAGAAGAGCCTTTTCAGGACCTCGGAGAGTGACCGTATCACTCAATACTCATGCATGGTAATGATAAGAATGATTATAAATAAATACGATATGAAATAATATTTTATAAACAGTTTGAGGTCTGGGTTAAAAGTCTTTATTTTATCCACTGGGAATTGATTTGTCTCTATATGACAAGAAATTGGGCTGAAAAATAACAAACTATCGTCAGCCGAAATGGAAAGACGTTTCAAAGGCAAAGCAAATGATTAGATTTTTATGAAAGTTCATGTGCAACGTTTTCTTTGGAATAACGTGCAATGATGAATCATTCATGATAAAATCAGGAAAGTATAAAGATATCAGGAAGTATTTATAAAGAAAGTAAATAGTCAATTTTGGTTTCATGTTGACTTTGTACAGTGCAAATGAAATAATCACATCTTGACATGATTATGGAAATCTCTGCCTTGCAAATTATAAAAAAAATGTTATTCGTTAATAGATGCAAATTGTTGAAAACATGGATAATGACAGGGATTAATCCTGATTGAGAAATCAGTCGTTCTCATGGTCTCGCCCATCATAAATTAATTGAATGATCAATGACATGCTGACTTTCACACAGTCAGTGCTAGTGTGATGAATGTAAACATCCCTGCTGTGTTATTTTCATCCAGACCGATGATTTATTTTTTGTCCTTGCTGATGTTGAACTGTCCCCCTAATCAACAAATACATGCAGATGAGAGGATCAGGACAGGGATAGAACTGAATTAAACAGCCTGTTTTTGCTACATTATCTTTAAGGCCTCAGTATTTATATGACCTCAGTAATAATTGGATATATCTAATATTAATATCTAATATCGCATAAAAATGAAAAGAGAGAGGAAAATCAACAGTCATGAGTGTCTAGATGCTGTCCTCCCCATTCCACATTGCTGTAGCCAACCATTCATGACCCAGAAGGTCACAATGCACAGGAAACACAGTTCACGCCCTCCTACCACACAGACTATCCAATATTAAAAAGAGGGTTCGATTTGCCACTCACAGGCACATCACATATTGAGCTGACACACTGACTCTGACAGCACCAGAATTTAAAATAAATAAAATAATAAAAAATTCTTCCTTCAGAGTCACACACAGAAAGTTCAGCTCATAGTTTTCCTTCATATATGATATCCTATTACTCTTTGATAATATTCCTTTCGCTATTTAGAGCTGAATTGCTGCACTAATACAAAATAATTAATAATAACATTAAAATAAATTACAAAAAATAGATATGGTTTATTAATAAATAATAACATTAACAAATTAAATCAGAAAATAATACACTAAATAGGGCATTTCATAATTAATTAAGTTTTATTTTGTGTTAGTAACTTAAAGGATTAGTTCACCCAAAAATGAAAATTCTGCCATTAATTACTCACCCTCATGTTGTTCCAAACCCTTAAGACCTCCGTTCATCTTCGGAACACAAATTAAGATATTTTTGATGCATCCCATGAGCTCTCTGACCCTCCCATAGACAGCAAGGGTACTTACACGATCAAGGTCCAGAAACACAGCAAGGACATTGGTAAAATAATCCATGTGACATCAGGGGTTCAACCGTAATTTTATGTAGCTACGGGAATACTTTTTGTGCACAAAAGAAAAAAAAAGACTTTATTCAACAATTTGTCTCTTCCGCATAACCCTGCCGCCATTTTGGAGAGTATCCACTGAACATAAACAGTGTATGTTATTCTGTGTCAGCTGCGATACGCGGATACGTTGTTTACGTTCATATCAAAGTGCAAACAACGCAGAAAACATATCCGTGTGGCGCAGCTGACACAAAACAGCAAATGCTGTTTACATTCAGTGAAAATAGCACCAGGGTGATGCTGAGGAGACGAATTGTTGAATAAAGTCGTAATTTTCTTTTTCTTTTGTGCACAAAAAGTATTCTCGTAGCTACATAAAATTACGGTTGAACCCCTGATGTCACATGGATTATTTTACCAATGTCCTTGCTACGTTTCTGGACCTTGATTATGTAAGTACCCTTGCTGGAGGGTCAGAGAGCTCATGGGATGCATCAAAAATATCTTTATTTGTGTTCCAAAGATGAACAGAGGTCTTACGGGTTTGGAACAACATGAGGGTGAGTAATTAATGACAGAATTTTCATTTTTGGGTGAACTATCCCTTTAAATAACTTTGTATTTTGTTTAGTGCAATCATATAGCTACTTAAAATATGCTTTAAAATGGATAAGCAATTTAGCATTACATTTAAAATCAGATCTGATTTCCCACTTTTCCCCACATTCAATACAGCAAAAATGTAGTATTCTTTTATTGCAACGCATTATGAATTGTTCATACTGCATTCATAATATGCAGTTCAGGTATGTGCTGGTCTCAAATCAGCATTTGCATGCACTTACCAAGTGTTTTAGCACACGGAGCAGCAGTTTCTGCTGTCTGGGTTCAGTGTGCGTCTGCAATGCGTGTGCCAGGCTGAGCAGCTCCTCCGGCTGCAGGTGGTCCGCATCCTCTCCTCTGTACAGCTGAGCCAGCAGAGACACACAGTGACTGGCCTCCTCATACACCTCACTGTCATTATATGCCAGCTGTGGGAGAACAACACAGTGATCTGAACATTTACCCAGTAATAACGAAAATATAACAAACTATATTACATACAAAGTATACAAAACAAATAATTATCCACAGCAGATTTAGTTAGAAAATTGGTCCCACTTTATATTAAATGGCCCTAATACCTGTGTACTTACATAGTAACTAGATGTGTACGTAGTATGTAACCACAGTGTAAGTACACATTGGTACATAGTATCTACAGCTGTAATATTTCTGTAACTACACACATGTAACAACCCTCCGAATGGTTTGTGCAAGTACAAATGTGTAACAGAAAATATCTTTGTCAATCTTAGTAAAATTGTCAATATTCCTGCATCTATATAACAGTCTGAAAGAACAGGCTGAATTATTGAACAGCTGAGCTGCAGCCAAACTCCCTTCATGCAGATATTTCTAGGACTTTTATATTGCTCTTCTATTACTTTTTGGAAATATGAAACTACATCCTTCATAAGTCTCAGCACTACAAATCTGTTAGTCTATGTACGGTCAATAGCAGTGGTCTGGAGAATCTATATTATATATTTATTTCAAAACATCTGCCATATATTTTACTCAGACTTGAGATAAGGTGTTATTTTGTCAAAATCACATTGTAAGGGGCTTTAAGGGGAACACATCAGGGGATTTATCTAGCTTTTTTTTTGAGCATTTACATTTGCATTTGACAGACACTTTAATGCAAAGTCACATATTATCAGTTTATCAGCTTTCCCTGGGAATCAAACGCAAGAACCAAGAGTTTGATGTACTATGTAGACGTAAGATTCAAAGATACAAAGTCCTCTTAGAACATGTAAAGGACAACTCAGCTGTAAGGTTGTTCTGATATCATCATGGCTTTGACATTTGGATCAACAACTTGGTTCAGGTTAGTTGCATACAGAAGTCCTGAAGGTACAGCAGTAAAGTGAATCCTAAATTCTGCATTTCCAAAAAGCAAGAAATCTGTCTGTCACACTGAAAATGATGCCACAAATATAAACATTTCTAAAACTTAAAGGGATATTTCACCCAAAAAAATAAACATTTGCCATTATCTATTTACCCTCATGTTGTTTCAAACCTGCATGACTTTCTTATGTGGAACAAAAAAGATTTTAGGCAGAATGTTATGAAGTTACAGTCTCAGTCATCATTTTATTTTACTGCATACTGTTTTTTTTTTTATTATACAGTGGCAGTTAATGCTGACATTGAGGCTGTCATTCTGCCTAACATCTCCTTTTTGTCCCAGAGAAGAAAGGAAGTCATACAGTTTTGGATCAACCTCTGCTAGGTAGAAGACAAATAACGACAGAATGTTTTTTTTTTTTACATTGTAAACCTGTATTGTATACCTTTATTTCCAACTAGTGAGAGCCCACTGTGGGCAGAACACTCAGCATTACAACACAAAAACTGAAACCTTCTGATTGCTGTCCATGATAATGGCTGCTTAAGACTAGTGGTTGTCCAATATGGATTTTCTGATGTGCAATGCTGATACTTTAGAGAGCAAGGCGGCCAATATAAAGCTGATATAGGCCTATATGATATCACACTAAATAACACATGCATAACAACTGACCCTTCGCAAAGACCCTTTAGGTATTAAAAAAGTCTCTGCTTAAAGCTAAATGCCATTTTGTGGCTCTTTAATGTGTTGTGACAGATCACTGCACTGCCTCAGTTCAAGTGTCACATGAACCAATCATCTCTTCCTCTTTACTATTTATAGCATGAAGTAAACATGAATTAACATTTATCTTGTTTAAACCGCAGAAAGATGTCAATACACACAATTTTTCAAGATCAAGTTCACCAACATTAATCCTCTCCTGTCTGGTTTGTCGGACAAAAATGGCAGATTCAGCATTATGATTGGTCAGATCGCCTGTCAATCAAATTTCTTGCAACGGGTCAATTTCTGAAATTAAATTTATATTTATTTAACATAATACTTAAAAACAATTTAAACAAAGACAGTAAACTAAAGAAGGTGTAGGGGAGCTCAGGCACTGGGTTCACTGGGTCAAAATAAAACTTCTGCTTGACTTGTCGACCAAATCGAGAAACTTATCAGCCAATAATGAAAAAGTGCCAAATATCAGCTGATAATATCAGCCATGGCGATAAATATTGGCTGACTTCTAGTTAGGACATACTGTAATTCAGTATAATTACTGACTGCTTGTTCACATGACAATGTGTAAACATACACATTATGCATTTTGTTAGTATAATTTTATAAAATAAATGTCTTTTTTGTTTGTTTGTTTTGCATTGTTGGATTGTCTAAAAAGACTGTCAAAAAGTCATTAAAAAGTAAACACGCCTTATATAAATGTGTATATATATATACAGTGGGGCAAAAAAGTATTTAGTCAGCCACCAATTGTGCAAGTTCTCCCACTTAAAAAGATGAGAGAGGCCTGTACCTTATATAAATGTGTATATATATTTGTTGAAAACTTAACATTAATATGTTACATAAAAACCATAACATTTTAATCAATGGATTCCAGAAGCTTTAAATACCTTTAGTGTGAATGTAAACTCTATAAATATTGTTTTGTCATATTGTGTGACACTTCTCCAAGATTTAATTTTCACAAGATTTACATACACTGCACTGTACTGGAAGCTGCGGTGACCACTCAGGCTAAATGTGGACGCAATCATGCATAGAGTCCATTAGAATCGTAATTGACGATCGAAGATCTTTACTATTCTCATCCCTAACCAAACCCGAATTAGCTCGAATTGTGATAAGCCGAATCCTGCTCAGCAAATTCCCATATTGGCAGTGATATAATCGCAAAGGAGAGCTGAAAAGTCAAAACAGGAAGAGTTATGTTCTCATAACTGCAGTTACAGGCTTAACATGTCCATCAGGGCAGCAGCATGGAGTGTGAGTCCTCAACCCAGACCACAACAATCCCCGCTCAGTTTAAGACTGAGATAAAGACAAAAAGCGACACACGAGGGCCGTGGGGATTTTCTCTGCCGCTCATTTTGGTCCTCAAAGCCCTGTGTGGCCGGCTCAGGGATTCCAGCTTCTTTTCGGCACTGATCTGTTACTGCCCTCTGCCATAAAGGCATAATCCCAAGAGACTCTGGGGCAAGGGCCAGCCGCGCCTAATCCCGCCCCTCTTTGTGATGTTGCCGGCCACTCCAGAATGGAGTGCGGGGCTTTAGGAGGCCACACAATACCCCCACAGAGCGCCGCCCCTTCCCCGGCCCAAAGAGAGGCTGACCGGAGGGAGATCCCCGGCGCTGAAAGGCCTTTGGTGTGCGTCTACGGGCTTCGTGGCTCCGGTATTGTTCACATGCCAACGCGGAGTCAGAGCAGAACAAGAGTTAACACCTGCTTAGACGGCCTCCCAAATCCACCCTGTTTACTTAGCAGGGCTTGTAGATGCATCGGGGAAATCAGGCTGAGGAGTCTAATGGGACTGTGGGCTGAAAAGCACACAGGAATCAGGGAGATTAGGGAGTGTTAATGCCACTGTGGGCTGTGAAAGGATGATTGGAAGAGAGAAAGAAAGAATGAGAAGAGGAGGAGAACCGAAGCCTATGGGGACGTGTAACGTGTAGGCCTCTCATGACCTCCGCATGTACTCGGGCACATAACTGGGCCTGTGTATTTGAGGCGATCAATATTTCCCACCGCCTCATGTGCCACTGCCTTTGGAACAAACAACACTGCAAATTACATTTTTCAAACCATGTGTTGCTTCAAACAGTGAACTCAGCCGCCGCGTAAACAGACTGCAGGGAAGATCATGTGTGATTGCTTGCAGGCAAACTCGGAATATTTACCACCAAAAATGAAAAGCGTGTGGAGTAAACGCATGAAAAAGCTTTTATATTGAGCGGAGACTTTGAGGTGACATATTTCCCTTTTGGATGAACTATTTAAAATGCAGTGTGTCCCTAGCACACATAGACAATCTGTTCACCTGATCCTTGGGCACCATTCGCCCTTGACAACATACTGTCCCATCCTGGTGACCTGCTTCCACATATATTCATATGCGCGCACACATACACAAGTCAACCAATGCCGTGTGTCCCACTTCTATGGCTGTGGTTTTGTATATATCAATATAACATTTATTTTAAATAGCAGTGCCCTATCTTGGTTTAAAAACCCAAGGTCAATGGGGGAGTGAAGCCATTTATTTAGTAACCTTTGGGAGTAATTTTAACCAAACACTATATGTATCACTTGTGCAGTGGTTTAAATATTTTAGCCTAAATTAGATATATTGATAGGATGTCCTGTTTAAACTGCTTGCTTTAATGATACAACAGCATTATGACATATTCACAAGAAGTATAAACAGGAGCACTATTCATCAATTCAAATCATTCATTGTCTTGCTGCAGGACCTGATGGCTTTTGAGTTTTAGATTACAGACGAGGTATTCTGTGACAGAACTAGTATTTCTGTTCAGTCTTCTGCCTTGAAAACTTTTTTCTATGTTGAATATGTATGGAAAAAAACAGCAACATTTGTCAGAATGGATTTAAATATTGTGAAATGTGTTTTTAGGAATACAAAGTCTTATTGATAGCATTGTTAATTTAGCATACATACTTAATAGACTAAATGCATAGGCCAGTGGATGTGCACAATGTTGTGAATAATGTTCTGCTGAATGACGAAATTCTGTGGAAATCTTTCTGCACAATTCTGCAGGCGGGAAATTGACATTAAATTTCAAGCAGTGACAGCAGTGTCCTGCAAAGTGACATGTACTTCATTTGAAATTATTAAACATAACTTTTATTCTTTTAATACTTGCAATGTTAAAAAAGTATTAGTCACAACGCAGCATTACTTAAATGAACTGCATACAAGCTCAAATCTATTACTCCGTTTGTAATACAGCACCTTAAATGTAGATTTTATATATGCATATACATTTTCTTCTAAAATCTTGATCTGCAAAACAGTGGGACACTGATGATTCAATT